TTCCGAATGAGCAGTCTCCACATCCTACCCCCTGTAGCCTCTCAAAAAGCTCTGGTAAAAAGGTCTGGGGCACCTTTACGGGTGGGAAGACGCTGCTGCGTCGTCAGGAGGCTGTGATGGAAACAAGAAGGGCTTTGGGGACTGGGAGGAGGATGAAGAATGAAAGCAGAACTGCTCTCGCTTCGCCGGTGGCTGGGGCTGAGGCAGATGAACCCGATGAAGGTCATGGGGAGGGTTTAGGATGGCTCTCTGCCAAAAGCCGTTGCCTGACGGCGGGGGCAGAGGATGTGCTGCCAGGCCACCGCTTCCCCGCTCGGGGAACGGGGGTAACCTCCCCCAAACGCGCACATGCTGCATTTGGGTCCCTGCTGTGAGCCAGGGCCCGGGGCGAGCTGCTGGGCGATACCCATCCCCGCGTCCTTCTCAGCTCCTGCTGAGAACACTGGTGGTCGGTGGTGCCTTACCTGCGGCTGGAGGGGAGCAAATCCGGAAAAATCGTCCTTGTCCACCACGGATGCCACCACCTATAGCCAAAGACAGACAGGTAGCGACCCAGTGCTTGTAGACCTCTCTTGGATTCTAAGTCTGCTCCCTTCCTCTGCTGCTGGCCAGGCCAAACTCCTCATGATGCTTCGGGTTCAAGAGGGGCTGTGATTTTTAGGCTCAGCATCTTTGGTTATAGGCTGAATGCTCCTGGCACCAAACTCGCCTCTCAGCTGTGGCGAGGTCTCGGGTCTCAGCCCCACCACTGCTGCAGTTAGAGTCCTTACAAGCTAGTGGCTTCCCTCTGTGCATTAATCACAAATGTTGAAGGGAGTAGGAACATCAACGTTAAACATCATTTGGGAAGTTGGTGGGTGTTTCTGGGGATGCCCCGACAGGCTCTCGGTCGGTGTGTCGCTTGCCGGAGGAGCTCTGCCTCCCAGGACCCCAGCCCTTAGGTTTTGCAAACTCACGGGGGAGAAAAGCTCACTCGCTCACCGGGGCTGGAAAGCCCCTTTCGAATGGAGCGGAGGAAGCACCGGAGGTCGTTTTTGGGTGTCAGATTTTAAATAGCTTCTTTTCCCCTCCCTGAAAATAAAATCTTGGCTGGAGTTGAAGCTCCCGTGGGACCTTTCCAGCTCATTGCTGACTGACTGCCCCTCATGTCTTGCTGAGGAAAAAAACTGAAAATAGGCCAAGCTCTGCAGAAACATGCTTTTTAGCTCCTCTGTTCCTACAGACTCCCTGTTCTCCATGAGACCCTGATGTGCCACCCCTCCTTCCATGCCCGGACCGGCTCCGTGTCTCTGCCTGGGCAGCAGGTAGCAGCTCAGAGGCCTGAATAAAGAAGGTATTTCTTTCTTACCATAGCCTTTCCCAGGTAGTCCTTCTTCTCCAGCTGAGCCACTTGCTTTTCGTTCGGTCGAAACAGCTTCCCCGCAGGCACGGCCACCAGGTCGCAGAGCTTCTGCTTCTGCAGCACAGAGAAAGCGTAGTGCTCTTCAGAGGTGAGAGCAGGGGCTGCCTCGCTGTCCCCTTCCTTCCGCCTCTGGGGTTAAGGTCTCGCTCCAGAAAGTCAAAGAGCCGCTGTGACAGCCTGGCCCCAGCCCTGACGTGGTCCATTCAGCCCCGTCTTCCCACCCCTGCCCTCCTCAGTGACCCGGGGCTCTTCCCACCACCCCGTGTCTCAGTACGACACCCACGCTTTGCTCAGCTCTTTGCCTTTGATCCCGGCTCTGCTAAAGCCGTAGCTAACAGGTGGTTTCTCTGTCGCTGGGATTTTTCTCCCCCCTCCCTGTGGGCCTGCTGTGAGCAGATGCGGCGGCAGCCGGACCTGCTCCTCCTTACCAGGATGGCTTCCATCGCCCTGTCGATCTTGTTGTGCTGGGGCTCGCTCTTCATGCTCATGGCCAGCGTCAGGTGCTCCTCGGCTTTCTTCCAGTCCTCCATCGTGGCGTACACCAGCGCGATGTTGTAGAGTATCTGCCGGAGGGATGGCATGGAGGAAATGAGCCCTTGGAGCTCCGTGAAGGCGAGGACAGCAGAGGGTGGTGGCACCGCACAGAGCACTGCGCCAGGAAGACCTGGCCATCTTCCCCCTGGATTTCTGGAGATGGTGAACAGCCCTTTGGGATCGAAACTGCCGGCCAGGTCTTTCTCACCTCACAAGCGAAGAGCCGGTACCGCAGCCCCAGGATCTTGTAGTCGATGAGCTGGTTGCCTCGCAGCTGGGCCAGCGCCTCTTTGAAATCCTTAATGGCCTTTTCATGGCTGTGGGGCAGAGGACAGGGGTGTCACCACCTCGCAGTGGCCCTCCAGCTGCCTCAAAAGAGCCTTCGAGTCTTTACTTCAACTGGTCTGAGTTTAGCTGGGTCTCTCCTATCTCCCCGCAGGGTTTTGGGACACCCCGGGCGGAGGAGAGATGCTCCAAGGCTGGTGCTTGTCCCAAGACTGCACCGTTGATGAACAGGAGCCTCTGGTTTTACCTCGAGGGGCTGCCCCTGGGGTACCAACCTGCCTGGGGACCGTCCTCGGCTGAAGGCTGGCAGCTCTGCGAGGGGCAAAGCCAAAACTTTAAAGCCCTCCACTCACTTCTGCCTGCGGTAAAAGACGGTCCCGCGCTGGAAATAAGCCACTGCCAGGTGCTTGTCGCAGCTGATGCTCCGGGTGAACGCCTGCACGGAGGTAGGAGTGGGGCAAAAAGGGAGTAAAGAGGGAAGACCTTTAAAAAAACGAGGGTGTAGAGCGGTTATACCTGTCCTGTACCAGGCTCCTAATTTTTTTTGAGCTGGAACCATCTGCTGCGACTCGCTGGGCAGCTTGCTGCCCCCGCAGTAGCCTTTGGGGAGAGGAAGAGCGAGCAGCAAGCCAGGCGTCTCTCCTGCCGCTTGGCCTCTGATCTACCGGGAGAACAGGTTCTGCAGGAGCAGCCCAGGGCTGCTTCATCCCAGCTTTAAAAGGCCCCGAACCCTCCCCTTAGTCAGCTCTCGCCCATTAATTCCTCCCTTTCCCACTGCTTCCGTCTGTCCGGCAGCTCTGCGCGCAAACTCGCCGGTGCCCGCGCGTGGGGCAGCGACCCTGGG